GGGGATCTGTCAGTTTGATATTAGGATTCATTGGATGTGTGGACCCAATGCATGGTACTTATAATTTAAACCTTGAAACAATTACTAGAACTTACATGTACTATACCAATCTTTGTGTCATGATGTTACTAAAAATAGCACACTGACCTTAAGGTCAGCTCATGGCATTGTTAGTATATATGTACATATTCACCTAATCAAGTGTTTAACTGTTGCTAAAATATTTATTTTTAAAGAAATACTAAATTTCAACAATTTTAAAATTCTATCAGCATCACACATACACGCAATCAGTTATTAGTATTATTTAATTGTTACGACGAGTTTTCATCTCTGTGAACTTGAGACTATAGCTTTTCCCTTTCCAATCATACCATATGATTCCGTTCCACTGACCATTACCAGTTGGATTAGTATAATAAGGACCATTGAGATGAGATTGAAAGCAAGCATTAAACCACCAGCCACCATTGTAACTAACAGCACAATACCCTATATCCTTGTCATTATCATTATCTCTTGTAGTGAATTTCATTCCACTATGATTTCCTTTTGAACCATGGATTTCAGGATCAGTAATCAATCCATCCCCAGCAGTACCAGAATATCCTCCTACTGTTAGTATATATTCAGTACTACCATCACTAACACTGAATGTAGAGTAGTTAGCATAAGCTGTGTTCCCCTCAAAGTCTCCCAGGTCCATTCTTAGTGTGTTTGATCCTTCTTTAGTAAGACGATGAATCTTGCTCAATCCTAACCAAAACTCACCAGTAAGGTCACCAAATCCATTCTCATAGTCAGTCCAGTATCTATAGAAATCAACAGATCCATCTTGTCTCCTCTGAAATACAGTCCATCCACCACCATCAGTCTCCATATCACAGTATACCTGTGATCCAATAGTGTATAATTATAAAGTATAATATAATTAAACATTACTTGGAAAGCTGGTCCATCATCTGGTGTTATAGGATATACTCCACTTTGGTTCTTTCCCAGTTCTTTCCATGCTTTACAATCAGTTGGCATTACACATTCTAAAGGAAGAGAAGAGAAAATCACAGAATAGTATTGAATATCTTCATAGTAATCATAAACTTTATAATTGGTATTATTGTACCTGGTATAGCATTAACACTAGTATTAGTAACAAGTGGAAAAGTTTTCTTCTCCTTCTCATCATCGGGACAGTTTCCATTGACAGTATTAATAATAACAATTATTATCATTAAACTGTACATCAGTTTACCAGCTAACATCATCTTGAGTAGGAGTTACTTTTATCTACTATTGAAAAAGAGAGCCTCAGAATAAATCTTAAAGTAAAGAGAGATTTCCTCCTTTTATAATGAGTGAGTAAGTGATTCTGCTTGTAGGTGTATTGTTGTGTTAAGAATGAACCATAATGTTTGGGTTGTAGTAGAAATAATCTTTTAAGCTTATTTTCATTAGAATTTCTATTTAAAATGATAGTTTAAGTTTTTAAATTAATATTAGTCAGCATTTCTTTATTAAAAACATGTTTACTTGAAGCAACGTTCTGTTAGAATAAGTTATTTTAAATAAAATATATTATTTCAAGAATAAAATAAATTTTTTTTCTTCTTCTTTTGTTATTAAACCATTATCATGGAAATGTCATTTGCCACTCACTTTATTACTAGTAAAATGATTTATAAGTTGTATTATGATATTAATCACTGATGAGGTTTAACATTAATAGGAAATGACTTTATTATAAAAGTAACAAAATAATCTAAATACACTAAGTAATAACTGATTCTATACAATCCTGTCACACACACATTATTTATGTTTAATTGTTACGACAAGTTTTCATCTCTGTAAACTTGAGGGTATAACTATCTCCTTTCCAATCATACCATATGGTTCCTCTCCAGGTACCAGCTCCAGTTGGATTAGTATGATAATGACCATTGAGATGTGACTGATGGCAATGACTGAACTACCAGGCACCATTGTAATGATCAGCACAGTTCCCACTGTAATTATCATTATCTCTTGTACTGAATCTCCATCCATTATGATGGGTCAGACTATCCCTAGCAGTACCAGAGTATCCTCCTACTGTTAGTATATATTCAGTACTACCATCACTAACATTAAATGTAGAGTAGTCAGCATATCTTGTGTTCCCCTCAAAGTCTCTCTGATCCAATAATAGAATTTACTAACTATAATGTCGTGCAATAGTGTTGCTAAAAATAGTAATCTATTATAGTGTATGATGCAATGTTATTGTTAATATTATTTTTCTACTCTTGTTTGTTGTTTATTATTAATAATTGTTAGAGCTAGATTTGGTTGATAATACACAATGTTACTAAGGGGATCTGTCAGTTTGATATTAGGATTCATTGGATGTGTGGACCCAATGTATGGTACTTAT